CGCGCGCTCCTCTGGCTGCCATTGGCCGCCAGCGAGGAGAGAGGCGGGTGGGGGGCGAGGGGTGTGTGAGGGTCTGGGAAGGGGGGATTGTGAGAGGTGGGTGAGGGTGCGTGTGAGAGCACTGCTAGGGGTCTGTGAGAGAGGACTGTGCGGGGTCAGCGAGGGGGGCGTGAGGTGGGGCGTGGGGTCTGCGTGAGGGGGTTTGTGAGAGGACTGCGAGGTGTCTGAGGGGGCGTGAGAGGGGTGCGAGGGGGTGTGTGAGGGGTGTCGGGGAGGCAGCGCGGAGGTGCCTTGGGCGGCTGGGTTGCTTACGGCGAGCGGGCGCAGCACTGGGGGAACGGGTGCTAGGCGGAGGGGGTGGTGTCCTCATGAGGTGGAGCAGCTCTGGTCATAGTTGTTTAGCAGGGGAGGGGTAAAGGGGCATTACCCCTGGACCCCTGGTTAGACCAAGGCAGTGCGCTGGCCCCGCGGGCTTGGCAAGAAGGCTGCCCTGGGTCCATGCTAGCGAGGTGGTTCTGGGTTTTATGGCATTCTCCATGCACCAGCTTAGCTCTGATCCAGCTTCATGGTAAGAGCACAGCTAAGTTACAGTCTGCGCTCGGTGGGTTTGCACCTTCATTGAACAGTGTTAGCCCTGCGTCTGGGAAGCTGTACCCACATTGTGCATGCTGCTTAAGTTCTGTAAATTCATGCAGGACCCCTAAATGCTGACATACCTCAACTGTGGAATATTCTGAAATTATACTATATAGCATACCTGCTGGTAGTTGAAAAAAACAAATTTGGCGTGAGACTATTATGTAGGTGCCACTAGAGTTCAGTCCTGGACCTACACAAATCTTGCTGTTCTTGATTTAATGCCTACTGAGGACATGCCTCTCTCCATTACAGCAGTCCTTGTAAAACTGTAGTTGTAATGTGTTTTATGTAAAGTATTTGCCATTTATTTGGAGAGCCTTCAATGTGAACGTGTGGTAGAAGTTCTCACTTAGAAGTAATGGGGCTAGTTTATGAAGGAACGTGAACTCTACTGAGTAGGAGGGGAAGGGAGATAAATACATATGTGAAATAATAATATTCATGCAAAGTGGCAACGAGCTCTTCAAAGTCCACTTTTCATGCCACCTTTAAAGTAAAGCTCCAAGAACATGAAACAGCTTGGATCGTTGAGACTTTTTTACCTGGTGGTACCAAAAAGCAGCAGCAACATCTTTATGCTTGTGGCTTTTATTGTATAAACAACAGCTGGAGAGAAAGGAAGAGAGTCGTGTCGTGAGATGTGACCTTTAGGACCATGCTAGGAGCCTGGGAAATAATACCATTTCCTTGCTGTAAGAATCTCGGCAAATTGACAAGCATCAAAGCAATTTACTCTTAATATGAAATTCACCTTTGCCCTAAGCACTTCTTTTCATATTTGAGGCTTAGTACGGATTGATTAAAGGCAAAACAGCAAAGGATTTCTGAAATGTCAGGACCTTTCTGGTGTTCATCCAACCGCACTTGTCTCGTTTTATTACTCGGCTAAGGTGCAGAGGAGGTGTCCTGGTGCTCAGGACGCTCTACGTTCGCCTCCCCTGCACCCTTCCCACCCTCCCAGTCAGTTCAGCCACACTCTATGGCAACCGCAGCTTTATTCCAGCTTGCCCTGCACCAGGGAGGGCTGTTGCCTTTGCCATCAACTCTCGGCCCCTCCTCGACTCTGGAGTCAAGGTGAGCAGAGTTAGGGGAAGGTGACGGTACTTGCTCCCCATCAGGAGGGTCCTGCCTCCCAAATCACTGTGCTCCCTTCAGCCTCCAGGCAGTTCTCCTCTTCTCTCTCTCGCTTGGGACCTCAAGCACCCCTGCCTGGGCGTTTTCCTTCCTACGTCACTCGCTTCCTTACAGCCACGCAAGCTACAGGCTCTGCCGGCTGCTTGGGCAGCAGTTGGAACTGGCAGCTCTCTGCTGTATCCACCTCCGTGCGGTGCTGCCTTCCAGACGATGCTCTTGCTCTGCTCCTGCCACGGCGCTGCTGAGGTAACGCCTCTGACTCCCGCAGCCTCCAGTCCTGACCGTACCAAAGTTACCAGGTTGGCTTTAGGCACGTCCGTACCACGCAGCAGCGCCCTACGCCTGGGGAGCACAGCTACTGGGGAGCTGTCTTCTCTTGTGTGGGTGGTTCCCAAACAGAGTCCAGCAGAGGTCCATGAAGATGATGGAGGGACTGGAGCATCTGACACGTCAAGAGAGGCTGAGAGAGCTGGAACTGTTCAGCCTGGAGCAGAGAAGGCGCAGGGAGGAATTTCCCAATGTGTATAAATACCTGATGGGAGGGAATGAAGAGGAGGGGAGGGGACAGGCTCTTCTTAGTGGTGCCTACTGACAGGACAAGAGGCAATGGGCACAAATTAAAAAAAACATTAAACTCAATCTGAATACAATAATTTTTGAATTGTTTGGTTGGTTGGTTTTTTTTTTTTTTTACTGTGAGGGTGATCAAACACTGGAGCAGGTTGCCCAGACAGGGTATGGAGTCTCTGTCTGCGGAGATACTCAGCACCTGACTGGACATGGTCCTGGACAACCTGCTCCAGCTGACCCTACTTGAGCAGGGGGGTTGGACTAGATGATCTCTGGAGGTCACTTCCAACCTCAACCATTTTGTGATTCTGTAGCTAGCGTATCCCAGCTATGACTGAGCCTCTCATATTTCCACTTCATTCTAAACCTTACAGATTTTGGTCACACCGCCAAAACCACCTGATTTTAGCAGGGATTTGGCTTTTCATTTTTTGCAGTAAAACCTGAGTGTTGGCAGAAAGGTGTTGTTTCAGGGTCAGCCTGAAGGATGGGACTTGGCAGGAATGGGTGCAAAGAGTATACCTGTGGGACACTGACCAGAGGTATGAAGCAAGGAACCCAGGTGGAGCGTAGGGGGAGGAGAGGAAGAACTGGCTGGGTGAAGTAAAATACCCATTAACCATCACGCTAAACCACAAACATGCAGGTCACCTCATATCACGTTCTGCAGTGACCATACGGTAAATTTAGAGGAAAACAGGCTCTTTCATCTTCCTGATTTTCACTGACACTGAAAGGTGTCTGCCCCGTGAGGCCGGTGGTTTTGGAAAGGATTGCATGCAATGTTCAGAGGTTTCAGCATTTTGTCGACATAATGATAGCGCTGCACTCCACTTGGCCGATGATCTCTCTTCACTGGAGCCCTCAGACCTTCCCAGAGAATTATTGTCTGTGAAGTTCATTAATGTGCAATTTGCTCCCTCCTCCTCCTCATTAATAACCATGTCAAATAAGAATAGTCTTAACAATCTTGTCTGTGGGGAATTTTTCTTTTAATGAGAGTGATTCAGGCTTCTTACTCAGACATAAATATGGTATCCCCTAGGTTTTCCCACATCGCTCCCAACCCCCTCCTCCATTACTACCGCTCCATGGTTTTGTTGCTCTTTAGAGGCTTACATGTCAAATTCACATGGGTGCCCCAAAACTGAGACAGCTGCATGGCTTCTTTTTCAGCCTTTCTGACATACTAGTTCCATTTATGTTCAGCCCCTTTCTGTCTCTGTGTAATGATGACCCAGAGCATTCAAAGCACTAGATATATGTAAGTGCAAAGGGATAACCCTAAGCTAAGTTTCTCGCTGAAAAAAAAAAGTTAAATCGGATATCTTAGAGCTAAAACTTCATTCTAGTTCATTTGCACTGTGTTTCCAGATTTGCTGTATTCATTTGTATTAGATTCTGTCTGACACGGCTGTTAATTTTGCCTTGGAAACACAACAAATAATAGTTTGAAAAAATATCTTAGAAGAACTATTGAAGTTCCCACCTTCTAGGTGGGGATTTCTCACCCATTCAAAGGGTGGCCACACAAATTGTTGATTCAGCACTTGGCACAGATGAGCTCAAAAGATCTGTTCCTGCTGGAGGAAGTTTCAGCTCATCCATCAGTGGACGTCGTGAGTAAGCTGTGAAACTCCTTAGCCCAGGCTGCTGTGGATGCCAGATCAAGTGGGTTCAAGTGAAGGCTGGACAAGTACACAGAAGGAAAGTCCACTTAAGTTTATCAAATGCAAAGAGGAAACACCTCTGGCTCCAAAACGTCCCTGAGACACAAATTGTTCAAGGCTGATACCTGGAGGAAATACCCTCTCTTCTTATACTCTTGCCTAGGCATTGGCTTGTGGCCACAGCAGGAGATGGGATTTGGGGTGAAAAGGATATTTGCTCCCATGCTGCACAGCCATTTTTGTGATCTCACACTTCATCAGGTTCCCATTCCCTCCTGACCTCCATCCCCTTACCTCACAGGAGGTTTCCACCGCATCAGCTGAGCTGAACGCTGAATAACTGAGCTCTGACTGAGGCAGTGAGAATGGCAGCTGCGGGGAGAGGTAGTAGAAACCTCTTCCATAAGAAAATAAAACGGTTATGGTTCATAAACCCAGTTACAATTAAACAAGCCTAGGGCTAAAGGGGGGTCCCTCCTTTAGGGCAAAAATAAAGCAGAGGTTCTCTTGCTCTCTTAGCTTCATCTGATCCACAGCAAGATGACAGGAGCAGTCAGAGGGGTTGACGGTACCTGCCGGAATGCTTGCCTTTGCTGGCTTCCTGTTATGGAAAATGAAGATTTTTCCAACCAGACTAATCAGCTGCACGTTGCAGCTGGCTTACACCATAATACTATGCAAAGCTAGCATATGGCTCATTACAATATACCCTGACTAAGTGTTCAGCCAAACAATCCACCAAGGCATTTTTGCTTCTCTGATGTGCCGTTTGCGCTTTTTGCAAACAAAGCAACAAACAATTCCTTTGGAGGCACTTTTCAATTTTAGATGAGGCTTGGGGATGCTGAATTTCTGGCTGTACTGTGAATGATGTTACAAACTGGTTCCCTATCCTTTGCTAGATGGACAGTTTTCTGGTCTGTTGCAAACCAGCTCCAGTTCAGGTTCCAGAGAGGTCTGAGCTTCCTCACACATCACGTATCTCTGACAGTGGACAGTTGTTCTCAAGACATCTCCCCTGGTCATGTCCCAAGGTGCACATCCGCATCCAACACCCTTCTTGGCCAACGGCATCTGTAACCGCTGTCCTGATCCTGCTCAGTTTCCCATCACTTAGGCATTACCTGCAGTGTCCACCCTGGGGTGGGAGCTCTGGTTTCACCACAAACACTTTCAAAGGTTTCAGGCTGAGCAAAGGAGTTTATGAACCACATTTTTGTGCTTAAACATACTAAAAACTTAGACATAAAAAAACCCCACAGTGTAGTCCTGTGCTGGTTTTGGCTGGGGTAGA